ACGGTGGTCTGTAGTATCAGGCTGGTCGCTAGTCACCGTGGTCTGTAGTATCAGGCTGGTCGCTAGTCACGGTGGTCTGTAGTATCAGGCTGGTCGCTAGTCACGGTGGTCTGTAGTATCAGGCCGGTCGCTAGTCACGGTGGTCTGTAGTATCAGGCTGGTCGCTAGTCACGGTGGTCTGTAGTACCAGGCTGGTCGCTAGTCACGGTGGTCTGTAGTATCAGGCTGGTCGCTAGTCACGGTGGTCTGTAGTATCAGGCTGGTCGCTAGTCACGGTGGTCTGTAGTACCAGGCTGGTCGCTAGTCACGGTGGTCTGTAGTACCAGGCTGGTCGCTAGTCACGGTGGTCTGTAGTACCAGGCTGGTCGCTAGTCACGGTGGTCTGTAGTACCAGGCTGGTCGCTAGTCACGGTGGTCTGTAGTACCAGGCTGGTCGCTAGTCACGGTGGTCTGTAGTACCAGGCTGGTCGCTAGTCACGGTGGTCTGTAGTACCAGGCTGGTCGCTAGTCACGGTGGTCTGTAGTACCAGGCTGGTCGCTAGTCACGGTGGTCTGTAGTACCAGGCTGGTCGCTAGTCACGGTGGTCTGTAGTACCAGGCTGGTCGCTAGTCACGGTGGTCTGTAGTACCAGGCTGGTCGCTAGTCACGGTGGTCTGTAGTACCAGGCTGGTCGCTAGTCACGGTGGTCTGTAGTACCAGGCTGGTCGCTAGTCACGGTGGTCTGTAGTACCAGGCTGGTCGCTAGTCACGGTGGTCTGTAGTACCAGGCTGGTCGCTAGTCACGGTGGTCTGTAGTACCAGGCTGGTCGCTAGTCACGGTGGTCTGTAGTACCAGGCTGGTCGCTAGTCACGGTGGTCTGTAGTATCAGGCTGGTCGCTAGTCACGGTGGTCTGTAGTACCAGGCTGGTCGCTAGTCACGGTGGTCTGTAGTACCAGGCTGGTCGCTAGTCACGGTGGTCTGTAGTACCAGGCTGGTCGCTAGTCACGGTGGTCTGTAGTATCAGGCTGGTCGCTAGTCATGGTGGTCTGTAGTACCAGGCTGGTCGCTAGTCACGGTGGTCTGTAGTATCAGGCTGGTCGCTAGTCACGGTGGTCTGTAGTATCAGGCTGGTCGCTAGTCACGGTGGTCTGTAGTATCAGGCTGGTCGCTAGTCACGGTGGTCTGTAGTATCAGGCTGGTCGCTAGTCACGGTGGTCTGTAGTATCAGGCCGGTCGCTAGTCACGGTGGTCTGTAGTACCAGGCTGGTCGCTAGTCACGGTGGTCTGTAGTACCAGGCTGGTCGCTAGTCACGGTGGTCTGTAGTACCAGGCTGGTCGCTAGTCACGGTGGTCTGTAGTATCAGGCTGGTCGCTAGTCACGGTGGTCTGTAGTACCAGGCTGGTCGCTAGTCACGGTGGTCTGTAGTACCAGGCTGGTCGCTAGTCACGGTGGTCTGTAGTACCAGGCTGGTCGCTAGTCACGGTGGTCTGTAGTATCAGGCTGGTCGCTAGTCACGGTGGTCTGTAGTACCAGGCTGGTCGCTAGTCACGGTGGTCTGTAGTATCAGGCTGGTCGCTAGTCACGGTGGTCTGTAGTATCAGGCTGGTCGCTAGTCACGGTGGTCTGTAGTACCAGGCTGGTCGCTAGTCACGGTGGTCTGTAGTACCAGGCTGGTCGCTAGTCACGGTGGTCTGTAGTACCAGGCTGGTCGCTAGTCACGGTGGTCTGTAGTATCAGGCTGGTCGCTAGTCACGGTGGTCTGTAGTACCAGGCTGGTCGCTAGTCACGGTGGTCTGTAGTATCAGGCTGGTCGCTAGTCACGGTGGTCTGTAGTATCAGGCCGGTCGCTAGTCACGGTGGTCTGTAGTACCAGGCTGGTCGCTAGTCACGGTGGTCTGTAGTACCAGGCTGGTCGCTAGTCACGGTGGTCTGTAGTACCAGGCTGGTCGCTAGTCACGGTGGTCTGTAGTATCAGGCTGGTCGCTAGTCACGGTGGTCTGTAGTACCAGGCTGGTCGCTAGTCACGGTGGTCTGTAGTACCAGGCTGGTCGCTAGTCACGGTGGTCTGTAGTACCAGGCTGGTCGCTAGTCACGGTGGTCTGTAGTATCAGGCTGGTCGCTAGTCACGGTGGTCTGTAGTACCAGGCTGGTCGCTAGTCACGGTGGTCTGTAGTATCAGGCTGGTCGCTAGTCACGGTGGTCTGTAGTATCAGGCTGGTCGCTAGTCACGGTGGTCTGTAGTACCAGGCTGGTCGCTAGTCACGGTGGTCTGTAGTACCAGGCTGGTCGCTAGTCACGGTGGTCTGTAGTACCAGGCTGGTCGCTAGTCACGGTGGTCTGTAGTGTCAGGCTGGTGGCTAGTCACGGTGGTCTGTAGTACCAGGCTGGTCGCTAGTCACGGTGGTCTGTAGTATCAGGCTGGTCGCTAGTCACGGTGGTCTGTAGTATCAGGCTGGTCGCTAGTCACGGTGGTCTGTAGTATCAGGCCGGTCGCTAGTCATGGTGGTCTGTAGTACCAGGCTGGTCGCTAGTCACGGTGGTCTGTAGTACCAGGCTGGTCGCTAGTCACGGTGGTCTGTAGTACCAGGCTGGTCGCTAGTCACGGTGGTCTGTAGTATCAGGCTGGTCGCTAGTCACGGTGGTCTGTAGTACCAGGCTGGTCGCTAGTCACGGTGGTCTGTAGTACCAGGCTGGTCGCTAGTCACGGTGGTCTGTAGTACCAGGCTGGTCGCTAGTCACGGTGGTCTGTAGTACCAGGCTGGTCGCTAGTCACGGTGGTCTGTAGTACCAGGCTGGTCGCTAGTCACGGTGGTCTGTAGTACCAGGCTGGTCGCTAGTCACGGTGGTCTGTAGTACCAGGCTGGTCGCTAGTCACGGTGGTCTGTAGTACCAGGCTGGTCGCTAGTCACGGTGGTCTGTAGTACCAGGCTGGTCGCTAGTCACGGTGGTCTGTAGTACCAGGCTGGTCGCTAGTCACGGTGGTCTGTAGTACCAGGCTGGTCGCTAGTCACGGTGGTCTGTAGTACCAGGCTGGTCGCTAGTCACGGTGGTCTGTAGTACCAGGCTGGTCGCTAGTCACGGTGGTCTGTAGTACCAGGCTGGTCGCTAGTCACGGTGGTCTGTAGTACCAGGCTGGTCGCTAGTCACGGTGGTCTGTAGTACCAGGCTGGTCGCTAGTCACGGTGGTCTGTAGTACCAGGCTGGTCGCTAGTCACGGTGGTCTGTAGTACCAGGCTGGTCGCTAGTCACGGTGGTCTGTAGTACCAGGCTGGTCGCTAGTCACGGTGGTCTGTAGTACCAGGCTGGTCGCTAGTCACGGTGGTCTGTAGTACCAGGCTGGTCGCTAGTCACGGTGGTCTGTAGTACCAGGCTGGTCGCTAGTCACGGTGGTCTGTAGTACCAGGCTGGTCGCTAGTCACGGTGGTCTGTAGTACCAGGCTGGTCGCTAGTCACGGTGGTCTGTAGTACCAGGCTGGTCGCTAGTCACGGTGGTCTTTAGTAACAGGTTTTACTGTACTGTAGACCGGGTAATTTTAGCGACGTAAAAACCCTAGCGAATTTAGCGATCTACTCATTTTCGCTAAAGTTTCAAGTCGCTAATCCGTTGAGAAGTTAGTAGTGCACTGGCGATCCGTGAGTAAAATCGCTGCAAATTGCTAAAATAAAACGTCCCTAACCGGTTGACAATGAGAAAACGCTAAAATTAATAGTCGCTAAAATTACCCGTTCTACACTATTGTGGGTGGCTACAGTGGAGTATGTGCGTCTCCATAACTATAACGAATGACTATTAACCGTGAATGTATTTTAAGGCTACAGTGGAGTCTGAGCATATTGAGAAACGACTGACAACTCATTGCACATTTGCAAGTCTTCAGGCCCAGCCTGCCTGCAATGACATCTATCGTGCTCTGCACCCAATCAGTACAGTGTGCAAGAGCAAGTCAACAGGCAAAGCTGTGTGACGTCTAACCGTACAAGCATTTTCAGTATTTGTGCACACAAATGGAAAGTTTCTTATGCGATAAAGCATGCCAACCATACTAACCCTGTCATATGCAGGATATAGGGGTGATGGAGGCTGGGTACATCCTGCCTGTACAGGCTGTCAGCGTACCTCCACACCTGACCAGGCTACAGGATAGGGCTCTACATACAACAAGGGACAAGTGTAATGACTAATGTACATGTAGCAATACCCAGTGGCAGTCATCAGCTGCTTGACTCTACCTCCCCCCACCCCCCCCCCCCCACACACACACTGCTCCACACCCCCCCCCCTTCCCATACACACACTGCTTCACCCCCCCCCCCCCCCTCACACACACACACTGCTCTACCCCACTAATACCATCGTTCGGAACAACTCCCCCCCCCCCCCCCCTTTCGCCCATACCCCATATTCCCAATACATGCGCACCCGTCAACATAATCGTGGCTCAGCATCCAGCACTGATAATCGGCATACTGGACCTACGACCGGTTTGATATCCCGGGGCGGGCTTGGGGAGGGGGGGGGGGGGAGGGTTGAACTACTTCGAAGTATCCAAATACCCGAGACCGGGAAAGAGACATGCATGACTGTAATGGTAAGTGTTAACTATAGATAATGGTACATGTTGATTGACCATAGCACATGCACATTGCGGGTATCACTGGGAAATAGTTATGTACATCAAGCAACATACCGGTAACCATCTCAACTGAAATTCTACCACTGTTGCACACAGGTAATCCCAAGAGTGCATAACCCCAAGTGAGTGTGCAACTGGGGTCTGGCTGCTGTAGCCTTCAGCAGTGGAATTCCAGTATAACGTCATGCCGCTGAAGCACAGCTGTACAAAACTCCGCATTCCGCGGTGCTTGCAGATAGTACTACAAGCGCAACGAGTGTGTACGTTATTTTTGACGTAATGTTGGAATTCCGCCTCACGGATCCCCATGTACAGAGTTGCACACTCTTGGGGTTATGGAGTGTTGGTAATACCACATTGCCAACTACATCACGATGCACGTCTTCATTCATCAAGATGAAATTATAGCCAACTTGCTGATACAATTGAGAGAAGTAGTGTGAACAGAAAACAAGATGCCGAATACAGACCCCGCATAGCAAATAGCAATGAAACAAATTTAAATCCCAGGAAAACAAGCTGCAAAAGGCAGAATTCAACAGCGCGGATAATGGCATGCATTCACCACTAGCTAAATACCATGTCATGTGTGCCTGGAGAAATTATAACGATAGAGCATGACGAGTGTTCTCTCAAGCTGCTCAGCGGAGGCACTCAAGCTGCGGAAAATGGCGGCAATAAAATCAGCTGCTAAAATGTTCACAGCTGTCCTCGTACACACATTCATACTCACGCACACACTGCCCAAGCCTGCCCCAGGCTGGTACGCTATGAAAGCCGCGTGAAAGGGAAAGCGATCAAACACGACATAAGAGTTGATTAAGTTAAGTGTGTTTCGAGGAACGTTTACAGATTTCATAGCCTTGGTAGCAACGGAAGCCAGAGGCCACCGCTCTCAAGGCGCACAAGGCAAAAGTTAGACTGTTGTTTCGCGCATGCGTGCGCAAACACACACACACACACACACACACACACACGCACAGGTGCCGCTTGGTCATACGTACCTAATGTACAATGATGTGGTCGCTGCTACACTGTCAAGTAACCATACTAGGCGATCATTGACCAGATCTCGATCAGGCATGTCAAGAATGTGTAGCTCTCTGCATTCCTGGACAGCAATGACAAACTGTGCAGACATCTCGTTCGCTGACAATCTGAAGTCGTTGCCTTGAATACGAAGGGCATCTAAGACAGGGCATGAAGCAAGAATCTCTGCAAGTATGGCAAGAGACTGAGACGTAAGGCCTGTGAACGGAAGGCTCAACACACTCAGACTCCTACTCTTCTCGAGGCCTGGGGCAATGATGGACAGGAACATGTCGGACAGAGAATTTCCGCCCAACTCAAGCGCTTGCAGATAGTCACTATGTACACTCAGAACATCCCTGACTAACGGAGCACTTGAGACTGTCAATCCAGCCAGCGACAATCCAAAGCCACCGATGGGTCTGCGGATCAACAGTGGAAAGAGCCACACTAGTCCCTGATCACCAATGTAGAAGTGGAACATGGGACTATGTAGTGCTCTGCAGTATGCTAACAGAACCAGAGCAATGAGAACATTGGTTTTGACCACCTGACACTTTGAACCACCAATGCGGATAACAGTCAGAGCAGAACACTGAGCTAGGGATGGAACTAACCGTGCATACCCTGGCGAAGATAGGTCAAGGTCAACTGCAAGGAATTGCCCCAAACTGGCATTGTTTGCTCTGATTGTGTTGATTAGAAGGGTGGTTTGATGATCAGTAATGGGATTATAAGATATATCAACCACACGCAATCGTTGACAATGGCGAAGACCAGGTAATAGCTGCTCATAGTTCTCATCATTGATCTGGCAATTCTGCACAGCGATATAATCAATGTGTTTGTTATGATGCTCCAAAACAGATGAGAGGAGGTGACAATCTGTTACAGTAAGAATAATATTGTGGAAATCGAAGCCGAAATGTTCCAGCGCTTCTCCCAGACTGGGGGATGGCGAGAAGATACATACTCCCTCTACTGTTTCTGTGTCGGTGCTGGGTGCACTGGGCTGGGCATAGACGCGGCAAGCAAGCAGCAACAACCGACGGTGAACTAGCGTTAAATGTTCCCTGGTACCATCTCTGGAGGCCGAGCCATCCTTACCCTGAGTCTGCAGTACTGATCGATCACCACTAGAGTCAGTGTAAGAAGAAGTGTTGCTGGCTGTGGAGGGAGGTGAATTCGATGTATTTGTAGAACAGTAAACGGGAGAAGCCAAAGGCTCTGAACAATTTGACTGGACGTACTCAAGAACAGCTCGCGATGCCGGCGGATGAAACTTGTTCAAGGCGCCAGCGAGCATCTTTACGCTGGCACGTGGAACCTTGCGCCGCCAAAGCTGCAACAGTGCTCGCACATAGTCTAGAAGACACGTGCTAAAGGCGTTGGGAAGAACCTGGTCCATGGCCTGAGTGACAGTCTCACTGGTGGGCAGTAGATCAGTGAGGAGACACCTGGCCAGTGTATCAACTGAACCTTGGTCAAGATGATCGCACAACACCTCGGCTACATCCACAAGTTCATCCTCAGACGAGCAAAGGAAGTGAATCACGTCGCCACCAGCCGACAGTTTCTCTATGTCCTCCTCCATGGGTACGGGCTGCGTGAGGATAGCAGCAATCAAGGCTTCTTTGACGTCAGGTGCCAGTTGTGAAGCCAGCAAGCACCAAAACGTGCTCAAGTGTCCAGTCAGTGCTCCCACCTGCCTGACCAGGAACTCAATGTCACCAGCATTGGGACTGCTACATGCAATGTAATGAGAAGCAAGACATTCCTGAATGGAAAGATGGCTGAACTGCCATTGGTTTACGCTAGGATAAGACAGTGGCTCACATGCCACCAGAAGACCCAGTGAACGTGCCTCCCCTGACAGCTGCTGTCCTTCAAGATCAGCATCAGTGAACAAGATCTTCTTCTCAACTAACATCAAAAATGCAAAATGGCTTAACTCAAGAATCTGCTCTCTCAGAACACGTCCAACGGATGACCAGTCCTTGTGGACACTACCCGTGTTTTGTCTAATCACACTCAAGATCAATGCGGTAAAGATACCGAACAGCGACGATGGAACCGAGCCACAACTACGATACACGTCACACGTCGACTGCGTGAAAAACGGTGTCTGCATCAAAGCTAACAAACTCGGATCGCCATCGACCTGCTCTAGCAGACGCTCGGCCTGCTCGCACGGAAGGACATTGTTCACGTACTCGCGCACATTCCCCTTGGTGAATCCGAGTACTTCCACGCGCCGGTCAAACGGACACGATGTCGACAGTTTCATCACCTCCGCTGAATGGCGAGATGTGAGAAGAACGCGAACGCCTTTCAGCTTTTCACCGCAGATAATGCCACGAACAAAATCACTACAGTCGTCGAGTACAGTTTCATCGAGTCCATCGAACAGGATCAAAAGACGATATGGATTAGCATGGATGAACGCAGCTACTTCCTTTTGTTCCTGTTTATCAACAATGCCATGTTCCTCTAGTCTCAAGAGGTCAATGATATTGCTGGCGTGTCGAACACTCCTGTCACGCAATGCCAATGCACTCACAACATCAAACTCATGCCAGATTACACCTCGTGCCCAGTCCAGTGGACCTTTCAACAAGAAAACAGTGGTTTTGCCTGCGCCCGCACACGCAACAGCCAATACACGGACTGACTCGTCTTCTGCCATTTCGCTCTCGTCAAAATCAAACATACTAGCGAGTTCAACGTGTGTCACCCTGTCGGCTATGCGTGAGAAGACATGGCTCAACTAACTTACTTCTGCATGTCGCTTTGCGAACCAAAGAACGTTTGCTCATTCAACGACGAGAGCTCTTCGCGAGGAACGACAACAAGATTCACATAGATCTTATCTAGAGAATGTTTGTTAGGTTTAGCAGACATACCCCTCCCCAGCTGTACCTTTGCACTTGTGTACTGCCTTCTCAGCATATCCGCAAACTGATTCACAGCATCGGGCAGCGAACGTCCGCACTCTCCAGAGGAAGTCGATGTGTGGCCACGTCTTCCTGGTAGCGGTGCTTGGCAATGCCTGCTGTTGGCTTGTTGAACGTGAGAAAGCCCTGGCGATGCATCGGTGTTACATGTACTCTCTCCATGGCTGGCGACCGCCGGGCTGATTTCTTTTGCATTTCTCTCCGCCATTGAATGAAACCTCGGATGGATAGGAGAATCTTGTTTGAGAGGGACTAATGGGGCACTGAATAAGTGGCAACCCCTAGCCCGACAAATCACTACAGCTTGTGGGCCAGGGCGATCAGTTACTCGGTGTGAGAACTCAACTGCTTAATATAAATATTTCAATCGCTCTCTTTGTAGAAACACCCTAGCCTAGATCCGTCGCTTTGTCCAGAATGTTTTGTTCCCAGTTTTTTATGCTTTTACTTGTGGCTGCATACAATCGAATACAAGGCGCTACAGGCCAAGGCCAGGGCCAACACACTACGGCCCAGTCCATGCAACACTGCATGCCACCACTGCCAACACTGCAACGCCAACAGGGAACACTGCAACAGGCCACAGCTTGAACAGGCCAGTACTACAGCCTAGGGTCAGTACTAGCTGGACTGGTACTGCATGGAAATCTGTCACAGCCTACGAACCGACTTCTCGCCAGTGACAAGGGTAGTGGCTAGATCGAACTACACTCTACACTACAGACAGTGCTGGCAACTGAAATCCGACCACTGAGTGGTGCGCGGGCTAATTACATCGCAAAGACCCAACACGGGATGGTAAAACTATGAAATTGGGGACCGCTAGAATGTGAACCCACCGCTCAGGGGTCGGATTTCAGTTGCCAGCACTGTACAACGACATGTATACTGTAATGCACGCGACATGTTTTTGCTGTGGAGTTTTCCTTCACTTCAGTTCAGGCTCAGCCAGGAGTATGAATGATCTACGGGGATGTGCCAGTGCTGAACCTCGGCAAAGTGCCAGCACAGACTCGTCCAACACTGCGACTTCTTTGCTGTGCGGGACACGACTACTACGAGTACTAGTAGTAGTGTACTACATTTTGTGTTACATGTAGTAGATGTCTACGAGTACTAGTACCTGTAGGTCTACTCGACTGACTGTAGACTTTTGTCACCACAGTCACCATGGTCACAGACTCAGTGTCGGTACAGGGATAAGGTTTCGCGCTACCACATTTCATTCAAACTAATTCCATACCTGGTCGAACGGACTTGTTTTTGTTCATATAAAGGATTAAGGTGTTGTTCCAATCGTGTGGCCATAGAAGATACTGATTCAATGACACAGGTACAGTATTGAAGATTCAATGAATAAATGCAAACTACATGTACTAGTCTAGACTGAGCCAGTTTTGACATTTTTGTTCAGGATATTCTCATTTTGCTGTATGATGGACACATACACGTGCTGTAATTATTTGGAATGATGATAGCAAAGATTACAAGTATGATGGAGCCTCCCCTACCCGTGACTCTCACAACCATGTAACGTGTCTGTACTTGGTAAGCGTGTTATCAAGATGTACACCGATGGAATCGTGGCTGATCCAACAAAGGCAATGAGTGTTCTCTCGCAAGGATATTGAAGATTTCAATGTTGAGGACAGTAGATGTCCTGTGTCTTGCCATTTTTCTATCAACATACTCAAACATCCACTGCTGTGTGAGGGTCTTGGACTTGGGTGTTCGCAAGTACAAGTACGTGTCATGATCGACATGACAGTCTGTAGTTGCATTCCAATCCCTAGCTACATCCGCAGTGCCATACTGTCATCCCATAGCTCTGCTGTGTGCCACGTGCTGGTCTCCTACTTTACCGGCGTACTCGTAGGGTCTTTGGCAAATAAATTACTTGGAGTTTGACAGCCCCGAAGTAAAAAAACAAAATAATAGTGTATACTACTATTATAGGAGACACAGTCCCCTAGTGTAGTATAGTGTCGTCTCAGACGAACTGAGCAAAGCAAGACTGTGGCACTGAGATTTCAGGTGGTCCGGCTAAAATGGGATGCAATCATCATGTGCAGTCGTGATCAAAGAAATCAGACTAAGCAGCCAAAAGCATCACCTCATTTTCATTTCAATAAACACATGCAATATCGAGAAAACAACAAGCAAGGGTGGCAGGGGCCGCTTTCAACTTGCACAGCAACACAAGAACTACCGGCGCTGGATAAAGAGGCAATTTGCCGTTAGATACCTATCCTCAGTGACAAAGGTACAGTACGGGAGGGATGCATCATGTATGTCCCGTCTTGACCCTCATTTTACAACATGACTGTACATCCGCAGCATGCATGCATCACTCCAGCTTGATTTGGTCGAACACCTCAGTCCTCAGTGACTGATGGGCTAGCAGCGTGCATGTGAAATCCCTGGCAACTGGCAACTATGCAAACAAGACTGACAACTACAGTAAAACCTGTGACTAACGACCACCCCTTGGGGCCAGAGAAAGCGGTCTTTGCTGGCAGGTGGTCCTTAGTCAGAGGTTTGCACCGCACAACCATAATGAATGTGAGACCGTCCGTGTCTGACGAACTGGTCTGTAGTACCAGGCTGGTCGCTAGTCACGGTGGTCTTTAGTTACACGTTTTACTGTACTGTAGACCGGGTAATTTTAGCGACGTAAAAACCCTAGCGAATTTAGCGATCTACTCATTTTCGCTAAAGTTTCAAGTCGCTAATCCGTTGAGAAGTTAGTAGTGCACTGGCGATCCGTGAGTAAAATCGCTGCAAATCGCTAAAATAAAACGTCCCTAACCGGTTGACAATGGGAAAACGCTAAAATTAATAGTCGCTAAAATTATCCGTTCTACAGTATAGTGGATGGCTACAGTGGAGTATGTGCGTCTCCGTAACTATAACGGATGACTATAACCGCGAATGTATTTTAAGGCTACAGTGGAGTCTGAGCATATTGAGAAACGACTGACAACTCATTGCACATTTGCAAGTCTTTTTAGGCCCAGCCTGCCTGCAATGACATCTATCGTGCTCTGCACCCAATCAGTGTGCAAGTGCAAGTCACCAGGCAAAGCTGTATGACGTCTAACCGCACAAGCATTTTCAGTATTTGTGCACACAAAATTTAGGAAGGTTGTCATGCGACAAAGCATGCCAACCATGCTAACCCTGTCACATGCAGGATATAGGGGTGATGGAGGCTGGGTACATCCTGCCTGTACAGCGTACCTCCACACCTGACCAGGCTACAGGCTAGGGCTCTACATACCGTATTATCTCTAATATAAGCACAGTCTCCCATCATAGCACGTCTCCAATAATAGAACACCTTGGGGCGGCATTCAAAAAAATAAAGTGCTCACTCTCCATTACAAGCACACTGTGTAAATTCATTATCAGTACTGGCGAAATAACCCTGAAATGTGTGTGTCTGACATGAATTTGGCATGGCAACATGCCTCTGAAATGAGGTTGAAATAATAATGGAACAGTCTCCAATAAAGGAACGTCTCCATTAACAGCACGGGGCGGAGGTAAATTGAAAAAATAAAGGACCGTGCTTATATTTAGAGATAATACGGTACAACAAGGGACAAGTGTACACGTACAAGTAGCAATCAGTGGCAGTCATCAGCTGCTTGACTCTACCCCCCCCCCCCCCCCCACACACACACACACTGCTCCCCCTCCCCCAGACGCACACACTGCTCCACCCCACTAATACCATCGTTCGGAACAACTCCCCCCCCCCCCCCCTTCGCCCATAACCCATATTCCCAATACATGCGCACCCGTCAACATAATCGTGGCTCAGCATCCAGCACTGATAATCGGCATACTGGACCTACGACCGGTTTGATATCCCGGGGCGGGCTTGGGGAGGGGGGGGGGGGTGGAACTACTTCGAAGTATCCAAATACCCGAGACCGGTAAAGAGACATGCATGACTGTAATGGTAAGTGTTAACTATAGATAATGGTACATGTTGATTGACCATAGCACATGCACATTGCGGGTATCACTGGGAAATAGTTATGTACATCAAGTAAAAAACCGGTAACCATCTCAACTGAAATTCTACCAATGTTGCATATGGATAATACCAAGAGTGCATAACCCCTTCGCGAGTGTCCAACTGGGGTCTGGCTGCTGTAGGCCCACTGAGCGGCGGACTTCGAACATTACATCATGCCGCTGACAGAGGACAAAACTCCGCATTTCGCGGTGCTTGGAACCAGATAGTACTACAAGCGCAAAGAGGCGTGTACGTTAATTTTGACGTAATGTTGCAATTCCGCCGCGCGGATCCCCATGAACAGAGTTGCACACCCTTGGGGTTATGGAGTCTTGGTAATACCACATTGCCAACTACATCACGATTCACGTCTTCATTCATCAAGATGAAATTATTGCCAACTTGCTGATACAATTGAGAGAAGTAGTGTGAACAGAGAACAAGATGCCGAATACAGACCCCACGTAGCAAATAGCAATCAAACAAATTTAAATCCCATGAAAACAAGCTGCAAAAGGCAGAATTCAACAGCGCGGATAATGGCATGCATACACCACTAGCTAAGTACCATGTAACGTGTGCCTGGAGAAGAGAATAACGATAGAGCATGACGAGTGTTCTCTCAAGCTGCTCAACGGAGGCACTAAAAAAGTAAAGTAAATTATCGTATCCGTTCCCGAAGGGAACTCACGACGGCCGCTAACACCCGATAAACCCCCAACGGAGGCACTCAAGCTGCGGAAAACGGCGGCAATTAAATCAGTTGCTAAATTGTTCACAGCTGTCCTCGTACACCTATTCATACTAACGCACACTGCTCAAGCCTGCCCCAGGCTGGTACGCTATGAAAGCCGCGTGAAAGGGAAAGCAATCAAACACGACATAAGAGTTGATTAAGTTAAGTGTGTTTCGAGGAACGTTTACAGATTTCATAGCCTTGGTGGCAACGGAAGCCAGAGGCCACCGCTCTCAAGGCGCACAAGGCAAAAGTTAGACTGTTGTTTCGCGCATGCGTGCGCAAACACACACACACACACACACACGCACACGCACACACACACACGCACAGGTGCCGCTTGGTCATACGTACCTAATGTACAATGATCTGGTCGCTGCTACACTGTCAAGTAACCGTACTAGGTGATCATTGACCAGATCTCGAGTAGGCATTTCAAGAAAGAGTAGCTCTCTGCATTCCCTGACAGCAATGACAAACTGTGCAGACATCTCATTCGCTGACAATCTGAAGTCGTTGTCATGAATACGAAGGGCATTGAGGACAGGGCATGAAGCAAGAATCTCTGCAAGTATGGCAAGAGACTGAGACGTAAGGCCTGTGAACGAAAGGCTCAACAGACACAGACTCCTACTCTTCTCGAGGCCTGGGGCAATGATGGACAGGAACATGTCGGACAGAGAATTTGCGTCCAACTCGAGCAATTGCAGATAGTCACTATGTACACTGAGAACATCCCTGACTAACGGAGCA